CTGTTCCACTTTAGATTTCTGGATAGGAGCACAATGTGAGCAAAAAGTGAGTTCTCCTGCAGGTGGTCATATTGACCTATCTAATTTCTGAGGGCGACACTAAAAGGGAATAATAGATGCTAAGGGAGTTCCACAGACCACCTTGAACATACTACTGCAGGCACAGGGAGGAACAGATGAGTCCACCAGATATGGCTTGGACCCCATTTATCCCACTCTTGGGAAAATGGCATGGCAAATACTCTATATATTGAGCCGCAATTCAATTCCAAAAATGAAAGTATTATTCATCAAAGATCATATGACATAGTGCTGAGGGGAGTGATGATTTCTTCTCTGGGGGTTATTAAGGGTCATGGAAGATTCAGAAGTGCCCAGAGCAAGGTAGATGTTCTCCAATACGCACGGGTCCACCACAGCCCCCTCAGCCACCTGCCGCCCAAGGTCTGCACTTAACCCGGGACTCGGGGAGGCCATTGACACGGGATGGCTTCTCAGGAATACGATCACTTTGCAGCTAGAAATTGCAATCTGCAAACCATAAAATCCGAAAAGGAGAAGACCTTTCAGGATATGGGGCAGATGTTAGATCTTTTCTGAGTTGCCCCTGAACCCAAGACACACCAGCTCAGCCATGAATTCATTTGCATGGCTCCCTCCTTCCCTCCCCACACTGCCGTCCCCCGAGTGATGGGAGGCACAGCTCCTCGTGAGGGTGGCATTCCAGGCCAGCGAGTGATGCTGCAAAGCTTTGCTACCTCGATGCAGCCCCTGGCCAGGGAGCTGTCGCTGCGGACACCGCGCCTTGGACGTGGCCTCCTGGTGGGGCTTGCATCTGCCAGCCCACCCCCGGACTGTGGGGCAGCGTCTCAAGGGTTAAGTGTCCCGTGAGCATCTTATGCGCTCAAAGACACAGACGTGTTACCCTGCAGCTCCGGGAGCTGCGGGCCCTTCGAGAGTGGAGAATGAAACCTCGCTGCGAAGGTATTGAACAGCCTCCAAGTTGCACAGCAGGAACCAACACGGAAAACCAGAGTGTTGTCTGTGCACACTTTGTGTGAACCCGCAGCCGGCTCCTGGGGGTAAATCAGAAACCCACGCCGCACTTTGCCCCGGACAAGGGTTTCCATCTCTTGCGATTTGGGCATCCGGAGATGACCCCTGTGAGGCCTTTCTCACTCGGGAAGACAGAGGGGCAGGAACGCGCCCTCCCACAGAGAATCAGAACCGCCCAGGGTCCTGGGCTGTGCACCGTCACGCTGGGCAGGAGGGGACCTGCAATGCATCCTGTACGGGCTGCGGCTCCGCCATCCACACGTCCCCTGAGGGCGGAGGGCCGGCGTCTCCCCCTCGGCAGTGCTAACCTGGGCAGGCTGCGCAGGAGAGAACGGCCCCTCTTGGATGACTGGGCTGCAGAACTTCAAGGGTGTAAAAACTTTGGGTGGTGACTGGAGACCCCAGCATGTCCCAGGACCTTGCAACACAAAGCTCACCCTGCCAGGCAGCCCCCGAAGGTCCTCGTCTCTCCACACGTGGCCCACGGGGCCCCACTGTGGCCAGCTCCTTTGTAGAGCTTTTTTTTGGGGGGGGGGCAGAGTCTCACTTTGTTGCCCAAGCTAGGGTGGAGTGCCTGGACGTCCAGCCTAGCTCAGAGCAACCTTCAAATCCTGGCTCCAAGCAATCCTCCTTGCCTCAGCCTCCGAGTAGCTGGGACTACAGGCATCACCACCATGCCCGCCTAATTTTTCTATTATTATATATTAGTTGGCCATTCATTTTCTTTCTATTTATTAGTAGAGATGGGGTCTCACTCTTGCTCCCAGGCTGGTTTTCGAAACCTCCCTGACCCTCAAAAAGCCAATCCGCCCGCCTAGGCTCCCGAGTGCTAGCACCACCGGCTGCATACCCCGTAAAAGACCAGCCTTCCTAGATCGCATCAATTCTCATTGTTAAAGGCGAGGGGGAGCCTGGAGTCAGGGCCACCGTTAACAGTCACTAGCCGGCCTATGCCACCTGGGGGTCCGCTTGCGCTCATCTGCTGAGACTGACCTCCACAAGTCTGCCTCCCCGCAGCACGCAACCAGGACACGAGCCGGTCACAAGGGGAGTCGACTCCTGTGGCTTCTCCGCATTCATGGGCCTCTCAGCTCCCGCTCTCGGCAAAGCCTGGATTCGTTGTTGGTAATGGCACTAGTGGCACTCGCCCACACCACGCGGTGACGTGCGGTGGAACCAGATCTGACAGAACCAGCCTTGTGAGGAGCCCAGGGGTGCCGCTGGGCTGCGAGGAGCAGGTGGGGGAAGGTCACAGGCCAAGGTCTCAGTGGGGCGCAGGGAAGGCCGATTCTCCAGGAGCAGCAGGTCACTTGGAATCGGGGCCTGGCAGACATTTCCGTCTGTCACACCCTGCATGTGCCAGAGCCGAGGACGCAATGAGCTGACAGGACACTCAAGCGTAGCTCGGGACGCCCGTCAAATGGAGGCGCAGAAGAAAGCAGCTGTATCGCACCACCCACCAGCCGGGAGCCCGGGGTGGTAGCATCCCAGGCAGCCCTGTGCTTGGACGGCAGGTGTCTGTGAGGCCCGCGCGGGTGACCCAGGCCAGCTCCTGGGCCAGGCCTCGTGGAGCCCCTGAGCAAAGCCTGGCCATTCCTAGCCGTGCCCAGGCAAGCTTGGCGGAAGGTGTTTCCGCCAGCGAAGAGAAGTGGCCTGGAGGGCAGGGGCCCCGATGGGGAGAGAGGCTGGGGGCCACTGCGTCAACACTGGAACCTTCTGTCTTCCCTGCATCAGGCCCTGAAGACCCAAGTCAGGCCCAGCCATTTTACCCCCAGCTAAGGGAGACAACGCCAGCCAACTCCCTGAGCGGCCGGTGGGGTTGGCGGGTGAGCCCACGGGAGACGCCATCTGAGGGGCAAAGTCCCTAGTGAAGAGAGGCACACCGTGGAACAAGCTTTCTCCAGAATAAATAGAGCTAAAATGGGGCAAAAAAAAAACCTCCCATAATCACATAGTGACACCCAGCGGAGGTAAAGGAGGATCTTGGAACACCAGGCGGAGGCAAACGAGAAAAAGGATGCGATGGCAGGCCGTGACCAGGATTTTGCGGTGGGCGGCTGAGGAGAGGAACAGACTTGGGGCCTTTTTTTTGAGGAAAGTTTTTTGGCTCCCGGCTGGGGTCGGGAAGCAGGAAAGAGACCAGAGAGGCGTGGAGCAAGTCGGGTGTGGTGGAACAGGTGCTGCAGGGAACAGGTTGCTGCGGGGAACAGTGGACAGATCTGGGGAAACAGGTGCTGTGGGGAACAGGTGCTCGCGGGGAACAGCCGTGCTGGCGGGGAACAGTGACAGATCCGGGGAACAGGTGTGCGTGACAGGTGACATTGCGGGGCGAAGTGGACAGATCTGGGGAAGCAGGTGCTGTGGGGAACAGGTGCTGTGGGGAACAGGTGCTGCGGGGAACAGTGGACAGATCCGGAAACAGGTGCTGCGGGAACAGTGGACAGATCCGGGGGACAGGTACTGCAGGGAACAAGGTGCTGCGGGAACAGTGGACAGATCCAGGGAACAGGTGGACAGATCCAGGGAACAGGTGCTGCGGGGAACAGTGGACAGATCCGGGGAACAGGTGCTGCAGGGAACAGGTGCTGCGGGGAACAGTGGACAGATCCGGGGAACAGGTGCTGTGGGGAACAGGTGCTGCGGGGAACCAGGTGCTGGGGAACAGTGACAGATCCGGGGAACAGTGCTGCAGGGACAGGTGCTGCGGGGAACAGTGGACAGATCTGGGAACAGGTGCTGTGGGGAACAGGTTCTGCGGGGAACAGGTGCTGCGGGGAACAGTGGACAGATCGGGAAGAGTGCTGCAGGGAACAGGTGCTGCGGGGACAGTGGACAGATCTGGGACAGGTGCTGTGGGAACAGGTGCTGCGGGAACAGGGTGCTGCGGGGAACAGTGGACAATCCGGGGAACAGGTGCTGCAGGAACAGGTGCTGCGGGAACAGTGACAGATCTGGGGAACAGGTGCTGTGGGGAACAGGTGCTGCGGGGAACAGGTGCTGCGGGGAACAGTGGACAGATCCAGGGAACAGGTGCTGCGGGGAACAGTGGACAGATCCGGGGAACAGGTACTGCAGGGAACAGGTGCTGCGGGGAACAGTGGACAGATCCAGGGAACAGGTGCTGCGGGGAACAGTGGACAGATCCAGGGAACAGGTGCTGCGGGGAACAGTGGACAGATCCAGGGAACAGGTGCTGCGGGGAACAGTGGACAGATCCGGGGAACAGGTGCTGCAGGGAACAGGTGCTGCGGGGAACAGGTGCTGCGGGGAACAGTGGACAGATCCAGGGAACAGGTGCTGCGGGGAACAGTGGACAGATCCGGGGAACAGTAGACAGATCCGGGGAACAGGTGCTGCGGGGAACAGTGGACAGATCGGGGACAGGGGCAGGGGCAGGGTGCTGCGGGGAACAGTGGACAGATCCGGGGAACAGGTGCTGCAGGGGAAGGAAGAGGGACGTGGAAAGGGTGCAGGGGAGAAATTGCTCAAGAAACTAGTGAAAGTCTCACAAATTTTTTTAAAAGACATACATGTGTAAATCCTCAGATTACAGGATTCATGGAGTGCTGCCTAAGGAAGACTAAAACCCACGCCAGCTAGACAGTAGTGAGAAGATAAGAATTAGGAATAAAAACTAGGCGACCTACTGTGTTAGTTTACTGCGGCTGCCCTGACAAGGGGCAGTCCCAGAGGTGGGGGACGTAAGACCACAGAGACTTGTTTTGTCACAGTCCTGGAGGACACAGACCCCAAATCAAGGTGTCAGCAGCATCATGTGCTCTGAAGGCCGCAGAGTGTGTCCTGCCTCTCTCGCAGCGATCCTTGGCTTGTAGACGCCCCACTCCACTCCCGCCCCCATCCTCACGCGGCCTCCTCCCCCCATGTGTCTGTCTCCACGTCTCTCCTCCTCTTCTGTAAGGACACCAGTCACATCAGATTAGGGACCCACCCTCCCCCAGCATGACCTCACTTTTAACTAATTACATCTGTGATGACCCTATTTCCAAATAAGGTCACATTCCGAGGTAACAGAGATTAGGACGTCAACATCTTCAACCCACAATACCTACAAAAGAACAAAAACAAGATTTTTTATCATTCCATAGGACCCAAGAAAACTATGGAGTAATCGTTTAAATATTTTGAAAGACAAGCATTTTTAACCTAAAAGAATGGATCTAATTTATTATTTAGCATAAGGAAGTAATATTTCCATGCTCATATATATTAATATAATGGTTTCAATGAATTTGCGGAACAAGTTCTTGACTCTGGCAGGAGGAAAAAAAATAAATTCATGAAAAAGATGTAAGAATCAATATAAAATTTAGCAAAAAAAAAAATTTTGGCCGGGCACGGTGGCTCACGCCTGTGATCCTAGCACTCTGGGAGGCTGAGGCGGGCAGATTGCTCGAGGTCAGGAGTTCAAAACCAGCCTGAGCAAGAGCCAGACCCCTGTCTCTACTATAAATAGAAAGAAATTAATTGGCCAACTAATATATAGAAAAAATTAGCCGGGCATGGTTGTGGCATGCCTGTAGTCCCAGCTACTCGGGAGGCTGAGGCAGGAGGATGGCTTGAGCCCAAGAGTTTGAGATTGCTGTGAGCTAGGCTGACGCCATGGCACTCACTCTATCCTGGGCAACAGAGTGAGACTCTGTCTCAAAAATAAAATAAAATAAATTATTTTTTGTTTTCAAAATTAACAATGAGTCAAAAATATTAGGTTTCTGGCGGGGCGTCAAGATGACTGACTAGACGTATCTGGTGCTCGCCTCCTCCACAAAGAGCCAAAACTGTGAGCAGATAATGACATTGTGAGCAGATAATGAATAGATCAACTAAGTGAGAATGCTGGAATTCAACAGAGAAGTGACAGGACATACCTAAAGCAAGGAAGGACAGAGAAACAAGGCCACCTTCTTGGCTGGGATCAGCTGAGAGCCCCAGGAGGGTCCCTAATGTGGGAAAGCATAAGTGAGTGACCCCCAGTAGTCCACATTCCCACCACGGACTCCTGCGCCCTCTCCACGAGAAAGCCCCTAGACCCCCGCAGTCCCAAGACTAGCAGAGAGAGCTGCCTGGAGCTCACACGCTGGCAGTGCTGCAGAGGGGAGCTCACTCTGCGTCCCACACACCCCAGCCCTAAGCAGCTACAGCAAGGTGCCACATCGAGAGCCCAACCCCCACCAGACTGCATCAGCCCTGGGGCCCAACAGCTGCACCTCCACATCTCTGGAGCCCCTTGTGGACATTCCCCACCCACAGCCACTGCAGGGACTGGCTGCTGCTGCCGGGGCTGAAGCACAAGCCACTGGCAAAGTCCCTTGCTGCCCTGAGCAGTGAAGCCACTCTGCATTGTCACTTGCCCTGAGGACAAACTCCCCTGCCTGCAGCAGCCACTGGGACTGAAGCCCAAGCAGAGGGTATGCTCCCTGGGTACCTGCATATGGCTGTTGCCACTGAAAGCAACCTGGCCCTCCCCAGCAGCAGGGCCACAGCTCAGCCACTGCCACCCCACCCAAGCATTTCACCTTGGGCCTGGAGATTACCCCACCCTGCCTACCCCAACCTGTGTACCTGCATGCACAACAATGGGGCCTGAGGACCACCTAGCCTAGTCCACCACCATTGGCACCTGGGCACTTTTCCTGTAGGCCTGAGATCAAGCCCACCCAACCTGTTGCTACCACTATGGGTGGCACCCACCCACGTGCACCACCTGTGGGCTGGGGAGTGACCTGTCCAGCCCATCACAGCCACTGCCAACAGCAACATGGGTCACTTGGGAGGTAGAGGTTTGTCCTGCCACTGTACTGCCATCGCCCATGCCATGCCTGCTGCCTAAGGGCCTGAGAACCTGCCCACCTGCCAGGCCTACCACTACCACTACTAGCACGTAAGAAGGCCACCTGAAGACCCAAAAAGCAGGCCATCTGACCCTGCTAACACTGGTGGAAGCATGTACCATCCTGGGCCCCAAGGAAAGGCATGCTTGGCCCACTGCTGCCACCACTGGGACCCAAGGACTAGCCCACCTGGCCACCCCATCCCCAGCAAAACTTCACCTCTAATAACCACGCCCTTGGCCAATGAGGGAACCACAGACATCATTGATGCTGCTTACGGCTGAAGAAGTCACACACGGAGTACACTACTGCACACACCCAGAACTGGAAACCCAAGTGCCCTACTCACACAACGCCATAGCTACACCTTCAGGAAAAAGTGTTCCCCTGTAAAAGTAAATTCAAAAAATTGGGAGAAGTGACTGTTACATCAGATGTGCAGATATCAACATAAAGACAGAAGAAACATGAAAAAGCAAGGAAATATGTTACTGTCAAAGGAATATAATAACTCTCCAGCAACAGATTTCAATCTAAAAGAATTTTATGAAATTCCAGAAAAAGAATTTAAAATAATGATTTTAAGAAAACTAAATGAGATACAAGAGAATACAGAAAAACATTACAAAGAAATAAGAATCACAATTCAGGATACGAACAAGAAGTTGACCAAAGAAATAGATATCATGAAAAATAACAAAACAAAAATTATGGAACTGAAGAATTCATTAAATGAAATACAAAATACATTTGAAAGCTTCAACAATAGACTAGATCAAGCAGAAGAAAGAATTTCTGAACTTGAAGACAGGTTTTTTGAAATAACCCAGTCAGACAAAAATAAAGAAAAAAGAATAAAAAATAATGAGCAAAGCTCACATGACATTGTGACACCACAAGGGACAAAATATTCAAATTTTTGGTATCCCAAAGGGTGAAGAGAAAACAGAAGTGATAGAAAACCTATTTAATGAAACAATAGCTAAAAATTTTCCAAATCTAGCAAGAGATGTAGACATCCAGATACAGGAAACTCAGAGATCCCCAAACTGATGTAATGCAAATTGGTCTTCTCCACAGCACATAATAGTCAAACCATCAAAAGTCAAAGAAAGAATTCTAAAAACAGCAAGAGAAAAGCATCTAGTCACTTGTAAGGGAACTTCAACTTGACTAACAGTGAATTTCTTAGCAGAAACCTTACAGCCAGGAGAGAATGGGATGATATATTCAAAGTGCTGAAATAAAAAACAAAACTGTGAGCCAAAAAATATTATACCCAGCAAATATGCCCTTCATAAATGAAGAAGAAAAAAAACTTTTCCAAGACAACCAAAAGCCACAGGAATTCATCACTACTAGACTGACCCTATAAGAAACACTTACAGGATTGCTACCCCTGCAACTGAAAGGATAATATCTACCATCATTAAAACACATAAAAGTATAAAACCCACAGGCCAAGCAAACACACAAGAAAGAGAAAAGACCTAAGTGTTACCACTACAGAAAAGTCACCAAACCACAATGATAAACAATAACAGAAAGAAAGGTACAAAAGATATACAAAATAACTGGAAATCAATTAATTAAATGACAAGAAAATGTCTTCTGTATGACTATGACATTTAAAAACATTTCATCTAACAGCTACAAACTTTACTTCTTCATTTATGAAGGGAATCTTTGCTGGGTATAGTACTTTTGTCTGACAGTTTTTTTTTTTTCTTTCACGTATCAATAACATTGATAGTAAATGAATTAAATTTTCCATGTAAAAGATACAGACTGGCTGCGAGAATTTTGTTAAATGACCCAACTATGTACTGCCTACAAGAAACTCATTTCACCTGTAAATACACATATAGACTGAAATAAAGGAAAGGAAAAACATTCTTTGCAAAAGGAAACCGAAGGTGAGCAGGAGTAGCTCTACATATATCAGTCAAAATCAATAAAAAGAGACAAAAAGGGTAATTTTCTAATGATAAAGAGATCAATTCTAAAAGATAACAATTCTAAACACATGTGCACCCAACACTGGAGCACCCAGATAGATACATAAGGCAAATATTATTAGATATAAAGGGAGAGATAGACATTAAAATGATAATAGTTAGGGACTTAAACACCCCACTCTCAGCATTAGATAGATTATCTAGATGGAAAACTAACAAAGAAACATTGGATTTAAACTGGACTTTAGACCAAATGGATCTAACAGACATTTACAGATCATTTAACCCAAAAGCTACAGAATACACATTCTCATTAGCATGTGAATCATCCTCTAGGATAGACCACATGTTAAGGCACAAAACAATTTTTAATAATCAAAATCATACCAAGTATATTCTCAGACCACGGTGGAATAAAACTAGAAATCAATACCAAGAGGAACTTTGGAAACTGTGCAAATACATAGAAATTAAACAACATAATCCTGAATGGACTGCTGGGTCATGAAAGAAATTAAGATAGAAATCAAAAAATGTCTTGAAACAAATGAAAATGGAAACACAACATATAAAAACCTGTGGAATACAGCAAAAGCAGTAATATGAGGGAAGTTTATAGCAATAAATACCTACATCAAAAAAGTAAAAATTATTTTGAATAAACCATCCAACGATGCACCTCAAAGAACTAGAAAAGCCAGAACAAACCAAACTCAAAATTAGAAGAAGAAAAGAAATAATAAAGATCAGAGCAAAATTAAATGAAATAGAAACTAAAAAACAATGCAAAGTGTCAATAAAATAAAAAGTTGGGATTTTTTGAAAAGATAAACAAAATCAATAAACTACTATATAGATTAACCAAGAAAAAAACAAAGAGAAGACCCAAATAAATGAAATCAGAAATAAAAAGGAGACATTACAACCAACACCACAGAAACACAAAAGATCATCAGAGACTATTATAAAAACTGGATGCTGACAAATTGGAAAACCTACAGAAAATTGATAAATTCTTGGACACATACAACCAAGATTGAATCCGGAAAAAGTAGAAAACCTGAACAGACCAATCATGAATAATGAGATTGAGTCAGTAATAAAAAGTCTCCCAACAAAGAGAAGTCCAGGATTGGATGAATTCACTGCCAAATTTAACCAAAATTTCAAAGAAGAACTAACTGAATTCTAAAACTATTTCAACAATCAAAGAAGAGGGAATTCTCCCTAACTCATTCTATGAGGCCAGCATTATCCTGATAACAAAACCAGACAAGGATGCAACAAAAAAGAAAACTACAGGCCAATATCCCCAATGAACATAAATGCAAAAACCCTCAACAAAATGCTATTAATAACAAATCAAATCTAACTGTACATCAAAAAGATAATACATCATGATTGAGTGGGATTTATACCAGGGATGCAAGGATGGTTCAACATAAGCAAATCAATAAACATAATATATCACATCAACAGAATAAAGGGCAAAAATCATAGAATCATCTCAATAGATGCAGAAAAACCATTCCATAAAATTCAACATCCCTTCATGATAAAGACTCTCAACAAACTAGGCATGGAAGGAACACAACTCAGCATAGTAAAGGCCGTATAGGACAAGCCCACAGCTATCAACATAGCTGTGGGGAAACCTGTTTCTCAAAGAACTGGAACAAGACAAGGATGCTCACTTTCACCTCTCCTATTCAACATAGTGCCTGGAAGTCTTAGCCAGAGCAATCAGGCAAGAGAATGAAATAAAAGGCATCCAGATTGGAAAAGAGAAAGTCAAATTGTCCCTCTTTGCAGATAATATGATCTTGTATCTAGAAAAACCTAAAGAATCCACCAAAAAAAACTCTTAGAACTGAGGAAAAAATTAAATAAAGTTGCAGGATACAAAGTCAACAAACAAAAATCAGCAACATTTTGGTAGAGCAATTTTAAAAAGCTGAGAAAGAAATCAAGAAGACAATCCCATTTATAATAGCTAGCCCAAAAAAAAAAAACTAATAATAAATTTAACCAAGGAGGTAAAAGATCTCTACAAGAAAAACTATAAACCGCTAATGAAGAAATTGAAGAGGACATAAACAAATGGAAAGACATCTCATGCTTATGGATTGGAAGAATTAATACCATTAAAATGACCATACAGCCCAAAGCAACCTACAGATTTGATGCAATCCCTATCAAAATACTAACATCATATTTCACAGAAGAAACAATCCAAAAATTCACATGGATCCAAAAAAGAGCCCAAATAGCCAAAGCAATCATGAGAAAAAAGAACAAAGCTGGAGGCATCACACTACCTGACTTCAAAACACATTACAAGGCTATTATAACCAAAACAGCATCATATTGGTATATTAATAAAAACAGACACATAGACCAATGGAAGAGAATAGAGAACCCAGAAATAAATCACATATTTACAGCCAACTGACTTTAGACAAAGGCATCAGGAACATACACTGGGAAAAGGACGCCCTCTTCAATAAATAGTGCTGAGAAAATTGTATATCCATATGAAGAATAATGAAACTGGGCCCCTTGTCTCTTGCCATATAAAAAAAATCAACTAAAAATGATTAAATACTTAAACACAGGACCCAAACTATAAACCTACTAGAAGAAAACATAGCGAACACACTTCAGGACATTGGGCTAGGCAAAGGTTTTACCGACAATACCCCCAAAACAGACAACTAAAACCAAAATAGACAAATGAGACTGTACTAAACAGTTTCTGCATAGCAGAGGAAACACAGAGTGAAGAGACAGCCTGTCAAATGGGAGAAACTATTTTCAAACTATTCATCTGACAAAGGTCTTATATCTAGCATATACA